TCTCACCATAACGCTTCGCGCCGCGTACGTCGAGTGCTCTCAACCTCCAAGACCACTCCCTTCGAATCGCGATGGCTTTGACAATGCCAGAATCGGGGGGCGAACCGACCCCGTAAATCGCACGGACTCCCTCTTGAGGGCTGACTCATTGAAAGCTGAGTCGTTCAAGGCTCGCACCGATCCCTGCAATTGTACCGATAGGTCTAGAGAGAACGCGGTTCTCAACACTAGCAATGACGCCATGAAAAATGACGCTAGAGGTGACGTCAGCGACGATGACGGTGGAATCCCGCTGGACCCGCTGCGCGATCTGCGGCCGTCGCTCATTGGCTCCACGTGGCAGCGCGAGTCGTGGCGGCGGAAGAAGCGGCCCGTGAAGACGCCGCGCCGGCCGGAGAAGGCGCGGCCGTCGCTGCTGGAGGAGATCGCGACGGCGTGGAGCAACGACCGCCGACGGCGCCGCGACGGCCGCTGGATGGTCGACACGCCGGTGAGCCTGACGCGCAGTACGCCTAGCGGTGCGCCGTGCAACGCGATATTTGTTCCACGAAGGCGGGATGTCACGTGGGGTGAGAAGGCAGTAGGGTGGGTGGGATGTGAAGCCCAACCCAGATGCAGTCGATCACATTCTCCCTCTCCGCGCCAACGTGCCCACCCTTCCCCGTCCGCGCTACCCTTCCCCGTCCGCGCTACCCTTCCCCGTGCGCGCTACCCTTCCCCATGCGCGCTACCGTTTCCCCTCCCCAGCGACCACTTCATCCCCAACGCCACCCTCCTCGCCGCCACCTTCCTCGCCTCCCCCTCTTCTGCTCGCGCTTCTTCCCCCGCTTCCCCCCTTCCCTTGCCCGCCCTCCCCCTCCTCTTCCCATCCCGTCCTGTCCCCCAGGCACCTCATCGCCACCATCGCGCTGACCCCACCCCTCCTGCCCTCACTGCGCGCCAAACTCTCCCTTACTCCTTCACCTCTTTTCTTTACAAAGTTCTTTCCGCTTGGCTTCTCCTCCCCCCTCTCCTCCTTCCACTTCCCCCCCCCCCCCCTCCCCCCCCGCCTGTCCTTTTTCCCCGCTCCCCCAGCGCGGCATCCCCACGTGTCCCCGCCCTGACCCGCCCTGCCCCGACTGCAGGGGGAGTGGGCGCGTGGAGTGCACCCGCTGCTGCGGCCGAGGTGCGTGTGCTTGGGGGCGGGGGAGGGAGATGGGGAGGGGAGCGGAGAAGAGGGGGAAGGATGAAGGGTGGGGGGTTGGATTGGAGGGGAGGGCTGGACAGCACAGGGCCATTCTCTTCGACACTCCCCTGCCCGGCAGTGCGCCAAGGGCGGGCAGGGGAGCGCCGAGCGGGACACCCCATCCCTGTGTGCTGTGTGGGTGAGGGGGAAGTGGAGAGCGATGGAGGCGTGGTGGGCGGGGGGCGTGGGGAAGATGGGAGGAGGAGGGGAGGGGAAAGGTTAGCATGGATACGATTGGAAGGAGATTGATGGGAAGCAGTAGTATGATAGTTGTGTGGGCAGGAGCGGGTGGATTGGGCAGGAGCGGGTGGTTTGGGGAGATTCTTGGAAGAGGCGAGGGAAGGTAAGGAATGGGACGGCAAGGGAGTGCTGCAACACATGGGGCAGACGAGGCGGGCAGACGAGGCGGGCAGTGGATCTAGGTGCAATTGGGATGACTAGAAGGGACGGGACGGGGGAAGAGGGAGGGGCGTGGAGGATGAGGGATGGGTGTATGAGGGATGGGTGTATGAGGGATGGGTGTATGAGGGATGGGTGTATGAGGGATGGGTGTGGGGGAGGAGAAAGGGGAGTTCAGTCCCAATCTGATTTTATTTTCACAGGGGTACTTATGAGAGTGGGGGACGGCTATGAGGAGAGGCGGCGGGCAGAAAGGAGGAAAGATAGGGGAGAGATGAGAAAGTAGAGAACGGGAGGGGGGGTAGGAAGGAAGGGAATGTGTGGGATTGAAGGGAGGGGGGTGGAATGGGATGAAGTGAAGCTGAAGGGGTTGGCTACTTACGTGAGAATGGTGTCTCAAGAGGTCAGCGCCAGCTCAGCTGTATAATATCTCTTCCTTCCATTCCACACATCCCCTGCGGTCAGTTGGCTATTTTTTGCATTTGCTTCTTTTTGCCAGGCCCGTTTTTCGTTCCTTTTCATAGTTTGTCTGATTTATTTTGTGTGTAGTACTCTCATGCCCCTGCCGCAAATGCAAGTGATCACGCACTGGCCTGCCCCCTTGAGTAACACATGTTGCACATCCGCCTGTACATCCATCCATCTCATGACTGGCAGGGCGCACCAACCACGTTGATCTCGTGATGCTCCCAACTGGCTCCTGGCCGCGCTGGTATGCTCTCTTGGAGTACTTGGCACGAGCTCGCACCCATGCAGGCACTCACACACCCATGCAGGCACTCACACACCCATGCAGGCACTCACAGCACCCATGCAGGCACTCACAACACCCATGCAGGCACTCACACACCCATGCAGGCACTCACAACACCACTGCTACTGCTGTACGCTCTGCCTTTTCACTCCACTGCTTTTGAGTCACCTGAGTAGCATCACGGCTACTCACATTCATCTATAGACTCATCTACATGCAAACCTGTAGTGCCGGTATCATTAAGTGCTGGCAGCGCTCTGCTGCTATACCCGCACTGCTGCTGCTATACCCGCACTGCTGCTGCCATACCCGCACTGCTGCTGCTATACCCGCACTGCTGCTGCTATACCCGCACTGCTGCTGCTATACCCGCACTGCTGCTGCTATACCCGCACTGCTGCTGCTATACCCGCACTGCTGCTGCTATACCCGCACTGCTGCTGCTATACCCGCACTGCTGCTGCTATACCCGCACTGCTGCTGCTATACCCGCACTGCTGCTGCCATACCCGCACTGCTGCTGCTATACCCGCACTGCTGCTGCTATACCCGCACTGCTGCTGCTATACCCGCACTGCTGCTGCTATACCCGCACTGCTGCTGCTATACCCGCACTGCTGCTGCTATACCCGCACTGCTGCTGCTATACCCGCACTGCTGCTGCTATACCCGCACTGCTGCTGCTATACCCGCACTGCTGCTGCTATACCCGCACTGCTGCTGCTATACCCGCACTGCTGCTGCTATACCCGCACTGCTGCTGCTATACCCGCACTGCTGCTGCTATACCCGCACTGCTGCTGCTATACCCGCACTGCTGCTGCTATACCCGCACTGCTGCTTCTATACCCGCACTGCCTGGGCTTATCTCCCTCTCCCCCCCTCCCCCCCAAATTCTTTCCCCCCTCCCTGGCAGGTGCTGGTTCTGCAGGGGCAGTGGGCGGTGCTACTGTGCGCGCTGCCTGGGCACGGGGGAGAAGCGTGGCATCATGGGCTTCCACTGACTGCCGCCAGCATTCCCTTCTCTGCCTCTCACGTCACCCCTCATGCTGCCAGCCACACTGCCAAGCTGCTTTTTGCACCTGTGCTTGTGAAATGCCTGTGCTGCGCAACACTCTTCTGCCATGCTGGGGAATAGGGGATACACAACAGATGTGGTAGCGTTCACTATTGGCATCCATTGCTCTCATCCAGCATGTACTGTTCTTTGGATGTACGTTGCTGTATTTTTATGCTATCTATATTAATCACCACTCATTTTAGCTACAATTTACTGGCCTGGCACAAACAATTAAATGAAGCCCTTTTCTACACGGTTATTACGTAGTTTGTGCTTCGGAATACCCACTGTAACAGCCAGATGACTCGAGCGTATCTTGCGTTGTTGTGAATCTTCGAAGCATCGTACAATTGTGCGTCGGTTGTCCTCCGCGCCTCAGTGGCATGTCATCGTCGCCCGTGATGCCGCCCGATCCATTGGCGGCGAAACGTTCTCCTGGCGAAGCGCGAGAGAATCCCAAACCCGCCCGCGCCTCGCACGCTCGTCGCGCTGCCGTCCCGCTGCTGCGCGCCGTCCGCTCTCTACTTGCGTCCCTTGACCATCAGCGATGCGCAGACGTGGCGGCAAGCGATTGGCTGGAAGATGCAGCGGGCCTGCTCTGCGATCGCATGGAAGACCTTCGCGCCGCTTACTCGCGGCTGGACGGCGGGCGGCGCGGGGAAGGGCAGAGCGGGCACGGGCAGGGCGGGGAAGGGGAGAGCGGGGAAGGGGAGAGCGGGGGAGGGAAAATTGGGAAAGGCAGGAAGAAGGCTCGGCGCGGCGTGAAGGGGGAGAGGAGGAAGGGAGAAGGGGGTGGTGGGCGCAGCGGGGAAGACGCGCGGACGACTGATGGCACGGCGGGTGACATCACGCCGACGGGCGCACGACGTACAGTGGCGGAAGGGGAGACGGGACTGGCGGATGGGGGGAAGGCTGACGGCGGACTGGCGGATGAGGGGGAGCGGGGAGGGATGGAAGAGGGCACAGCTCGCGTGATGGCGAGGGCGGTTGTCGTGGCTGACAGCGGCGATTGGGGTGCGCTACTGGCGTGCGGAGAGTGCTGGGGGGGCTGCGGAGAGGGCGGAGAGGGCGGAGAGGGCGGAGAGGGCGGAGAGGGCGGAGAGGGCGGAGAGGGTGGAGAGGGCGGGGAGCAAGAGTGGGAGAAGGTGAGTGGGCGCTTCCCCGCTGCGCTGGCTGCCATCGAGTGTGCTGCTGCCTCGCTGCTCCTCCTCCTCTGCCGCTCCCTGCGTCACTCCCCCACCCCTCCACACTCACCATCTCAACGCCGCTCCTCTGCTTCCGCTCCACACTCCCCATCCTCTGCCCAGCGCCATCTCCTCCCCGCCCACCTCGTGCTGCCCCTGCGCGCGCCCTTCCAGCGCCTGCTCCCCCTGCTGCTGCGCTCCCCCTGCCCCTCCGCGCGCCTGCAGGCTGCGCGCGCCCTCGCGCTGCTGCTCTCCGCCGTCGCCCGCGGCGTCACTCGCGGCCGCGGCTGCTTCCAGTGGGGGCGCGCGCTGGAGGGGCCGCAGGGGGGAGCGCTGGGGGGGGCGCTGCGGGGGGCGCTGGGAGGAGCGCAGGGGGGCATGGGCGCGTGCATGAGGGGTGGGGCAGGCAGAAGAGAGGCGAGGGCGAGGGGAGAGGAGGTGAGAGGGGGGAAGGAGGAGGAGGGGACTGAGGAAGAGGATGGGGCAGGCGGGGAAGCAGGGCGAGCGCAGGAGGAGAGGGAGGGTGGCGCAACAGGTGGCAGGGCGCTTGTGCCTGCTGCAGGGGGCGCGCACTCACGTGCAGGGGAAGCAACGGGGGGAGCAGCGGAGGAGGGAGTGGGGAAAGCAGGAGGAGCAGCAGTTGAAGGAGGCGCAGAAGGGGAGGTGGAGAGTGCGGGGGTGCGGTGGGTGGTGGAGGCATACGGTGCCATGCTGCCCGCACTGCATCGCATGCTCTCCCACTCACACCCTCGCCTCGTGCTCGCTGCCCTCACCACCATGCACCACCTCCTCACTCTCGGTCCGTACCCTCCCTCCTCGCCCCTTCCTTCACCCCCCCACTTCCCCACACCCCCTCACCAAACCCCCCCCCCCCCCTTCCCTCCCCCTCGCCCCACACGTGCTGCGCGGTTGCTCAGTCTGTGTGCCGCATTTGTCTCTTCTCTCTGCTTCTTCACCTACCCGCGTTTTCTGCTGCACTGCCTCATCTGACTGTTCCCCCCGCTGTGCAGCTTTCCAATCTTCTCACTCCATTTCACCTTACTCCCCCCCCCCACCTCCCTTCTCTCCTCCCCCCCCTACACCCCTCGTCCGCTCCCATCAGACCCGCTACCAGCAGCCAGTCGCATTGCGCGCATGTCTCTGCCTGCCTTCGCCCGCCTGCTGCACGCACACCCCCTCCCTCTTCCGCTGCACGCCCCCTCCTTGCCTGGCGCTTCCCCTCCGCGTTCTCAGGTGGGCGCAGGGGGCAGGGCGAGCAGCAGAGGGGCGGGGGCAACAGCACAGAGCGCAGCGGAGAGCGCCGCCTCCGCGCTGCACCGCTGCTGCTGTGCCACGTCCCCCCGCCGTGAGTGCCTGTGGCAGCGCTGTGCTTGCCTCTCCGCGGCCATCCTTGTCCACCTCGCCGCCTCATCCTCGCCGCGCCTCTCCGCCGTCCTCGCCCTCCCCCTTGTGCGCCTCTGGCTCTCCCACGCCGCTGCCACTGCTCATGCCACTGCTCATGCCACTGCTCATGCCACTGCCACCGCCCATGCCACGCCCACGGCTACTGCCACTGCCAGCAATGGTGCTCTCGGTGGTGACAGCGGGGGGCGGGTGGGCACGCCCGGAGGCGAGGGTGCAGTGAGGGGGGGGGGTGCTGCGGGGGAGAGCACAGGGCAAGGGGAGCGAGCAGCGGGGCAAGGGGAGCGAGCAGCGGGGGTAAACGCAGCACACCCCACGCCCTGTGCCGGCCACCGCTTGCCTGTGTGCCGCCTCTCTCCGCAGCCTAACTGCCGTCTCTCCTGGCAGCAGCGGGCAGCGGCGCTGCTGCTGTGCCTGGCAGCGCGCTCCCTTGACCTGCTGCTCCTCGCCTCCTCCCCGCCCTCCCTCGCTCTGCTCGTCGCCGCCGTTGGGGGTGCCGGTGGTGGCGGTAAAGACACTGAAGGTGCAGGCAGTGGGGGCAGTGGGGGCAGTGGGAAAGGGGGAGGGAGAGTGCGGGATGGCGAGAGGGAAGCAGCAGAGGGAGCAGGAGAGCTGCCAGTGCAGACAGGGAGGTGTGTAAGAGGTGGATGGGGAGGCGCAGAGAGGGGGGATGGAGTGCATGACCCACATGGCAGGGGCAGCAGCGAGTGCACCTGTGACTGCATGTGCACGTGCACCTGCGTGGGTGCCTGTGCCACCGTGCGTGCAGCCCCACGGTCGTCCCACGGGGCGGTGGCAGCGGGGAGGGTGTGGGGAGCACACGCACTGGCAGGCATGGCGGGGCAGCGGCGGGCGCGGAGGGGCATTGTGCACGCGGGGGGCGTGCAGGCGCTGCTGGCGCTGCTGGGGGATGCCCTGGCGGGGGAGAGGAGCCCTGGGGAGGGGTGGGTGGGGGAGGGTGGGGAGGAGCGGTTGCAGGGAGTGGGAAGGGGAGGAGCCGGTGAGAAGGGGGGAGAAGGGGGTTGGGGGGACGAGGAGCGAGGTGGAGAGGGCGAGTGGTGTGGTGGGGGGATGGGGGAGAAGAGAGCGAGGAGGGGAAACGACAGCAGGGCCACCTCGCCTCAGCAGCTGTCAGTCACTCCTCCTTCCTCCTCTCCTCCCGCTCTCCAGTCCGCCCATCACGCTCCATCCCCCTCCCACCTGCCTCGCGTGCTACTGGCGCAGCTCACAGCAGCAACGGCAGTGGGTCTGCTTGCCTGCCACACCGACCCGCCTCTCCCCTTCCTGCCCGCTGCTGCCACCCCTCTCCTCCTCACCATGCTGCTCCGTGCCGCTGCTGCCCTTCCCTGCGCCCCCACCTCTCACTCCACCCTCCCACCCCCTGCTTCCTTCCTTCCTCCTTCCCTCTCCCCCTTAATCCCCGCTTCTCCGCCTTGCTCTGCCCCCTCGCCCCCCTCCGCGCTGCTCCACTCACTCAACACGCGCAGGCAGCAGGTGGCGCGCGAGGTGCTGCTGCTGCTGGCGCGCTGTGGGCATGGCAAGGAGGAGCGCGATGAGGGGGGCGATGGTGAGGGGGAGGGCGCGCGGGCAGTGGTGGAAGAGGTGGTGCGGGTGCTCAGAAGCACGGAGGGGCGGGTGGAGCGGACAGGAGGGATGGAGCGGACAGGAGGGATGGAGCGGACAGGAGGGATGGAGCGGGTGGAACCAGGAGGGGATGGGGAGAGGGGGAAGGAGCATCAGCAGGGCAGGCACCAGCAGCAGGAGCAGGAGCGGCAGTGGTGGAGGGGGCAAGTGGGGGTGGTGCGGCAGCAGGCGGCAGTGGTGGAGGTGCTGTGTGAGGTGGCGGGCACTGCAGCCGGGCTGCACGCTGCCGTGGCTGGCGGGGCCGTGGCGGCTGTGAGTGGCATGATGGCCGTGCTGGCAGTGGCAGAGCGAAAGGGGCGCGAGGGGCTGCAGGGCGAGCAGGGGAGTGAGGGGCTGCACGGCGAGCAGGGGAACGGCGAGGAGGCGGATGGCAGCAGGGGGGTGGCACCGGGGCCGTGCAAAGGGAGGCGTGCAGGTGAGGAGGAGGAGAGGGGTGAGGAGGGGGCCGTGTGGGTTGAGGGGGTGAAAGTGGAGGCAGGAGATGGGGAGAGCAGGGGAGGGGGAGAGTGGAGGGCAGTGATGATGGGAGTGAAGGGCGAGGAGGATACGGAGGAGGAGCAGGAGGATGACGATGAAGGAAGGGAGGAGGGAGAGGATGGGTGGAGCGAGGAGAGTGAGGAGAGCGAGGAGGATGAGACGCCTCTGTGGCATCTATGGCAGATGCATATCGACGGGCATGTGCATGGGCATGTGGATGGGCATGTGGATGGGCATGTGGATGGGCATGTGGATGGGCATGTGGATGGGCATGGTGATACAGGTAGGCTTGCTGCGATGGGCTCGGATGGTGGGGCGAGTGCGAATGACAGTGACATGGATGAAGGGGAGGAGGAGGAGGAGGAGGAGGATGAGGAGGATGAGGAGGATGAAGAGGGTGAGGAGTGGGGAGGAGAGGGAGCTGGGGGGGCCGATGGGGAGGGCGAGGAGGGGGGAGAAGAGGAGGGGTGGGGAGGGCAGCGCGGGGAGGCTGGGCGTTCACAGGTGCAGCTGAGGCTGCTGCAGACTCTGTTTGGTGGGGGATTGGGCCGTGGGGCATGGGCGAGTGAGAGCAGTAGTGAGGATGAGGGTACTGAGGAGAGCGAGAGTGAGGAGAGTGAGAGTGGAGAGGGCGAGGAAGAGAGTGAGAGTGAGGAGAGTGAAGGGAGCGATGATGAGGCTAAGGAGCGTGAGGAGATGGAGGGAGATATTGAGGGCGAGAGTAAGGAGAGTGAGGGCAAGAGGGAGGATGTGAATGACCAAGAGGGCGACCGTGAGAGTGGGGAGAGTGAGCGAGGGGGTGCGGACCTGAGTGATGGGGAGGGCGGGGGCATGGCAGGGGAGGGGAGTGGGGCGGGCGAGCACTGGGCGCGTGCTGCTGTGGATGGCAGGCGGGGCGCTGGAGAGGATGTGGTGGATGTGGAGATGGGAGGGGCGGGGGGGCGGGGGATTGATGGGCGATGGTGGGCAGGTGGAGTGGATGACGAGAGCAAGGCTGTGGAATGCCGCATTGATGGTCCTGTTGGCGTTGATGGCGCTGACGGTGCTCTGGCAGCAAACTCGGCGGCGGTGGTGGCAGCAGCACAGGGGGTTGAGCGGGAGAGAGTAGGTGTGCGGTGTCCACACGGCAGCCCGCACTGCCTGGCCTGGCTGCCTGCGTGGTGGGGGGAGAGGGAGGAGAGGGAGGGCAGGGAGGGTAGGGAAGGTCGAGAAGGAGGTTCAGAGAGAGATGGTGGTGGGTGTATCGTGGTGGATTCAGCGATTGGCAGGGGCGATGATGGCAAGGGACAAGGGTGCGTGGCGGACGAGCGTGGTGTCAGTAGCTGTGGTGCGAGGTGCAGTGCGGTGGCCGTGCGGGATGCACGTGAGGGGGAGGGCACAGAGAGCGGGCATGTGATGAGGCGGCAGGGCGGGGCAAAGCGCAAGGCCCAGGCAGATGAGGGGGAGGAAGTGGGGCGTGAGGGATGCAAGAGTGCTGCAGTGGCTGTGTGCTGGGAGAGGGGCAAGGATATGCCAGTGGAAGGGGAGGAGAGGTGTGGGGGGAACATACGGGGGAATGAGCGAGGGCTGGAAGATGCGTGTGGAGGGGAGGGAGCAGCAGCAGCAGGTGCATCAGCATCACAGGCAGGGGCAGAGCAGGGTGGGTGGGAGAAGCAAGGGGCGTGGAGGGCAGAGGAAGTGGAGGCACTGAGGGAGGAGGGCCGGCGGGAGCAGCGCCTGCTGTGGCGGCGCTGTCTGCACCTGCTGGCGCTGCTCTCCTCCGATTGGACGGCATGCTCCCACGTGGTGCATGTCGGCCTGCTGCCTGCCCTGCTGCAAGCCATCGCCCGCCACCCCTGGCAGCGACACCCTGAGGTGGGCTCTGAGGGCACCGGGGGCACTGTGCTGAGCAGAGCCGGGGAGGGAGCGGCAGCGGTGGAGGTGGTGAGCAACGTGGTGAGGGTGCCGTGGCTGAGACACAGGGCTGCAGAGGCAGGCGTGCTGGCAGTCATGCAGAGGGCAGCGAGACTCATGCAGGGGCGGGGCGGGATGGTGCATGGTGAGGCGAGGAGGCATGCGGTGCAGGCAGTGATGCGGCTGTGCGATGTCAAGTATGCCGTGCATGGCTGAACCGTGCTGTCTGCACAGCATGGCATCCGCTACTTGTGAGCTGCTGTGAGCATGTGCCAGGGCCCTGTAGCTGCATGCCACTGACTGATGTTGCTGCAGTCTTTGAAACAGGCCCCTAGATTCGTTTTGGGGCACTCTGATCGATCAGAGTGCACCCCTCTTCGTACTCTGGCTGTCAGAGTTGCCTCGAATTTTTAGTCTGAAAATTCAGACTACACAAACATTTCTACTCTGATCTTACGGACTAACACCCAAAATTTTCTCTGATATGAAATCACCAATATTGAACTTCTTTCACATGTCTGCATTAGAGTCTGACAGAAATTCTACAGCAGCACGCGCGAAGGTGGGGTGTGGTGGATGGTTGTGGTGTCGAGCGAAGGTGCAGCGCGCTGCGAGCTATGTCTGCCTGCTGCGCAACCGCGATCTGGTTGTTGTCACGTACCTGGTGGGCCAAGTGCCACGCAGCTGAGCTGGCAGCACGCTGAAACTGGTGCTTGGCGTGGCGTGTGAGCATCTGGCAGTGCCGCACGAAACTTTCACTAAGAATCAGGAGCTTCGCAATTTCACAGCAGTGCGTGCTGCGGATGTTTTTACAACGAATCAGCATCAAAATCGCCTATTCTTTACAATACATTAGCGATAACTTACATTTGACGAGATTTTGTCTCCGAAATCTCGTAATCACGCAACCATTTTCTTAGCATAAGTGGGAGATATTCTCGACGAACGAGTGTATTCGGATGTCCTAGCTGTTGAAGTGTGTGTTGCTCACGTCCTGGCACTCCACTGCCATCTCGGAAGTGGGCATATCGAAACGAAACTTCCAGGAAACCTCTATCCGATAACCTCGCAGAGTGCACCCCCGATACAAGTCTGAGGCTCAGCTTACACTACTAAAAGTAGTATGAAATTTCAGACAAGTCAGTTGAAAAAACTCTGAAAAATCAGACAGGGTGCTTAAAAAAAATCTTTGAGTTCAGACTAGGTACAAAAAAAAAGTCTGAACGGACTCTGAATCAGACTCCTAAGTCTGATATCTAGGGCCCTGCTTTGAAACCGTCCTTTTCATACAAAAACCAGAAAATGTACTCGTTGATTCGAAGGGTCTCGCTTCCCTGTTCATAAAACCTTATGAATCGTAATGACTGTCAACATGTAGCACTTGGCAATCACACCGTTATGTTGAACATATACGGTAAGTGTTTCATTTGTTTGTTGACAGGGTTAGGAACCTGAATGTCATTTATAGTTCATTCTCATTTCGCTTGCACAACTTTATGGTACCGTATTAGAGCTTGTAGGGTGCCTCATGTACCGGATGATGTGCACTCTAGTGCTGAGGCCAAGATCTACGCCAGTGCCATGGCTGCTCTGCTCAGGAGGTCCGCTGGCTAACATTCTTGCTCACTTACTTGGGTGAGCGGCCAAGCTCTGCCATAATCTTCCTGTGTCGAGAGCCTTGACTAGAGAGTAGAGTGTGTTGGAAACAATTGATTTAATGCGCTTCTATCGTGTCGAAACACCAAGTCAAAAGCGAAGCGAAGTATATCGAAGCACCAGCGAGTCAACCCTCGGAGGTTGAAGTAACTGTTGGAGGTTACGCGAAAGTCAAAGGTCAGAGACCTTTGACCTGATAAGTACAGCGCGACAGCAAGGGGACACAACTGACTCGTTACAGAGCAGTTGCCCGAGTCGTCACTGTCAGAATGTATTTGCTGTCTAGCCTGCAGTGGGGTACTCTGTAATGAGTACAACCCAATTAGGGTGGTGTACTTGTATCCCAACTCTTGCTAGTGACCACCATTCTCCTTCTCAACTTTCTCGACTTTCACCTTACACCCTAAAACCTAAGCTACTAAGGCACCTAAACTATGGCTTCTAAGCCAAACTCACGCTAGGTATTTCAACATGGTATCAGAGCTTAACGCTCCTGGCCTGTGGGCCCACTTGCTTCCGCTGCCCTACTGTGTGTCGCGCGCCCCGTGGCGCGCGACCTCCTATTTTTCTTCCCGCCACGCGCTCGGGGCGCGTGGCGGTTTTCTGCCCGCCGTGCGCCCCGAAGCGCGCGGCGGGTTCCTCTCTCGTCGCGGCGTCCTGGGGCCTGCGCGGCGGCCCCGAGCGTCGCCTCGTCGCGGCGTTTTGGGGGCCCGCGAGCCGGCCCCTCCCGTCGCCTCGTCGAGGCGTCTTGGGGGCCCGCGCGCGGTCCCCTCCCGTCGCCCGTCGAGGCGCTCTCGGGAGCTCTGGAGCAGCTGCCCCAGCAGCAGAAGCCTCTGGAGCCGCCGCCACTACAGCGAGCAGCCGCCCCAGCAGCAGCAGCCCCTGGAGCAGCCGCCCCAGCAGCAGCAGCCCCTGGAGCAGCCGCCCCAGCAGCAGCCCCTGGAGCAGCCGCCCCAGCAGCAGCAGCCCCTGGAGCAGCCGCCCCAGCAGCAGCAGCCCCTGGAGCAGCCGCCCCAGCAGCAGCCCCTGGAGCGACCGCCGCTGCAGCAGCCGCCCCTGGCCCCTGCAGCAGCCGCTCCTGGACCCGGTGCAGCCGTGAGGGGTAGGTGTGGGGGTGCTGGTTGTGGGGTGTCGGTTGTGTGTGCCGTCCCCTCCTCCTCCTCCTCCTTCGTCTCCCACTGCTGCAGCTCTCGCTGAGGGGGGTGGATGTGTGGGAGTCTGGGGTTTAGGGTTTAAGGGGGTGCTGTGGGTGTAGGGCTAGGGTTTGAGCAGGGGGTGTGTGAGAGGGGCGTTAGGCAGCTGGGGAGGTTGAGTGGAGGCAGCAGTCTTGTCGTCAGCAGCAGCAGCAGTCCGGAGGCTACAATCTCCGGTAGTCGCCAGTCGCCCGTGGGTCCGTTGCTCGTCTGCCGCTACTTTTAGCCGCGGGGCCAGTTACCCCAGTAGTCCGGAGCGCTGTTCCGGTAGCCACTGAGCCAGCAGCTCGTCTGTGTGTCTGCAGCGTCAGCAGTCGCCTCCCATCTTCTCTCCCCCACAGTCTCTCCTCCTCCTCACTTGCCCTCTGTGATTAGCTCTAGCCTTACTTACCTATTGTGAACTCTTGCTCTATGCTTGCTTATTGTACTGATTACACCCCACTTTGGCTATGGGGGTGTGTCAGAATGTATTTGCTGTCTAGCCTGCAGTGGGGTACTCTGTAATGAGTACAACCCAATTAGGGTGGTGTACTTGTATCCCAACTCTTGCTAGTGACCACCATTCTCCTTCTCAACTTTCTCGACTTTCACCTTACACCCTAAAACCTAAGCTACTAAGGCACCTAAACTATGGCTTCTAAGCCAAACTCACGCTAGGTATTTCAACAGTCACTGTATCGAACCGCAACAGCAACAGTAACGTAGTTATAATTGTATCCCTTCATATTCCTTGTACTCTTATATAATCTTGTACCTCCTTGCTTTAATCAACTTACTTTGCTCTCACACACTAGTGCAAGGTGGTTCACAATCCTATCATTAAACGCTTCCGCTATTACATCGTTCCTACCCAGAGTTCACCCCTGCAAAGATCCTATAAGGCCTTTTTCAGCCCAACATGGTATGAGAGCTAACAGGGGGAATTCAACTACTATCAAGTCACCTACAACATCAGAAGACATGGCAACCCAGAAAGAAAGGAGCTCTTCTAACGGCTCCCACGGAACTACCCCTACACCACCGCCTGCCTCTGGCCTGCAAACGGAGGAGAACCCGGCAACAAGACCAGCAGCGGGGTCTACCGAAACTCCCGCGAACCAAGCTTCAGGCTTCGACCCAAGTATGATGGAGAAATTTTTCTCCTTCATGTCCTTCTACGAGCAGCATCAGCAAGCGGGACCTGCAGAATCAAACAACAACAACAACGCCACACCAATGAGTCTCGATGGCTCGTCATACGCGCGCGGAAATCAACAGCAACAGCCTACCTTTGCTCCGTACGAGCGCGGGTCCATCAGCTTCATGCCGCACCCGCAGCCTTCACCTGGACAAGAGAAACCACTGGACGCGTTACAAGTTCAGTCGCAGTTCGCACACGTTCTGAAATTGCAGACGACAAGACCTTTCGACGGAAAGGACTTCTTCACCTGGTCGTTCGAATTCGAGTTGATGATGGAAGGCGCACAGATACTTGGCTTCTTCGACGGGTCCCTGCCATACCCAACAAACGGCACACAGTACGAGAAGCAGCAGTACACTTATCAGTCAATGATGACATACACGATCCTACTGAGAAACATCACTCCGAGTCAGCAGCAGAACATTCGATCTTACCGAGGATATGGCAACTCTGCCGAGCTCGCGTACAACCACCTGAAGAACCTGTATCAAGCAACGGACAGCGTCAATCAAAGTCGGTTGATGGCGCAATTGACAACAGTGGAAATCAAACAAGGCGAAAAGGGGATGGCGTATATCAGTCGCTGTCGCGAACTGCGCGACAAACTCCTTCGATGCGGAGGATCAATAGCCGAAGAAGCCTTCGTAACAGTCGTCATCGGTGGCCTCGGTCCTCAATGGCGCTCCACCCGAGCCATCCTCAGAGCTCACGGAAGAATCTCCGAAGCAGCACTTTGCGCTGAAATTCACGCCGAGCAGCAAGACATGGACATGCAAGAAGAACGACTCAAGAAGAAGACGTCAGCACCGGAATTCGCCTTTCACACTCAACGGCGTTACAACAACAACAACAACAACCGACAACAACCAAAACCCGTACCTCCGTTCTGTCACATCTGTAAGACGTCAGGGCACCCGCGCGAGCACTGCTCGAATCGACAATAGTCAACGCCACCACAGCGGCAGCTTCGACCTTCAAGCAATCTAGTTGCCTCAACGCAAGCGAATCCCACGACCCAGGTTCAAGCTTCAACGACACCAACGGGACAACCTGCACAAGGAGCAAGGAACATCGTCAGTTGCATGGCAAGATTGACCGACTCCTGCGTCACTGAATCACCGCCACACTACTCACCGGAAGAACAGCTCGAAAACAGTACGCCCCGCCGCGAGTCACTTCAACCGAAC